GAACACACAATTACACGAAGGGCATAGAACACTTTCCTGGGGTATTTGAAACTGAAATTGGTCATATAACTGGAAGGCCGTTGCTGATTGGCTGCTGAGTGAGAATGACAGTTGTTAGCGGTTGGCTTAATATCACTCTAACAGACCGTTTGGCTGAGAAAGTTTTACTATTTGTTCCGATTTGTAGGAATCTGAAAAACGCGTTTCACAACTTGTTTCTTTATTTACGTTCATGTGGTATTCAAGATGCGGGCCCCCATATCGCACTTGTGGGCCAGCTGACTGTGGTTCAGCACTGAATGACGGTTCTCTTTTTGTTTATAGGAATAGGGGGTATTTTTTGTTTTGTTTAAGGTGTTATTTGTAAATCGACTAATGACGAAATAAAAATGGTATCGTGGTTCGAGGAACACAGCCTACAAGAGTTCCACTGTGATAATATAGACATCAGTCACTGGCGATTATGGGGGGGGGGGTATTTCTTTTATGTGGGCACAAACAATCGTAAAAGTGATGTAATTGTATTTCATACAACTTTCAAAATATTATGCATAAACAAAAGTATTCTAGTGATGGCAGGTGTATCCTCTTGGATCGTACTGTAAGTGAGAAACGTCTTACTTTGATATCATTCACTATATGACCCAAACGAGGATGTTCCTGTTTTCTTCCACCACTTAAGAAGCGACGTTATAGATTTCGGAAATGACGTAATAATAGATTTCGGAAATGACGCTACTATTTTAGTTGGGAATTTAAACACAGTTAGAATTTTTAACATTGACAAAAGTGGTAGTCTGCGTAATCAGAATAAAAAAGACACAGATGGAAATCGAGGAGTTGCAAAGAGAAATTGCATCTCATTGACATTTGGCGTATGACGCATTAGAACGAAAATAGATTACACACATGGTGTAGGCGTAGGCCCCATTCGACGCAGAGTTGTATTTCGTTCTTGAACATAAGAGGCATGTCGATTTTTTTTCGCAGTATTATAGAGGAGTCAGAAGTAGAAATGCATTCCTTCTCCGTCGCGTGAGATTATAGAATATTTAGAATGTGACAAACTTGAATTAATTTAACCAAAAAAAAAAAAAAAAAAGATGGAGGGAGTGTAAACTCGATGACATGCTGGAGGAAACTGAAACTTACGCGGTATTTCCTATCAATAAAAAGCGTACTTACGTTAACAGAGGGACAGGAATGGTGATATCAGCCAATAGCGAGGAAATCACTGATCTCAGTCATATTTTGAAGAAGCAGGAAAGTGGGACAAAATTTAAACGGCTCTCTGAATATAAATACTTACTTTTCTCAACTTTTGAGATTATTTTTTTGCAAGGAAAAAGTGAAGGTTTTATTACAAAATAGTCGAGGCCTGTGTAATTAATAATTGTCATTTTTTGTTATTTTGTTCAATAATTATTGCATCGTGGCAAGGGTCTCTCTTTGCCATACATAATAGGTGTTATATCTTTAGCCCATGTGATCCGCCAGACCCCAAATATTAAAGGTGTCATTTTTAAAAGTCATAAGTATTTATTAGTTCAATACGCTGATGATACTTTCGTTTTTCTTGATTGCAGAGGGTCAACTTAAATACTGTAAAGGGGGTAATTATTCACTGGGTTTTAATTTAGCTTATTTCGCTGACTGGAAAAATGCGCTAAATTAAAACACAGTGAATATGTAAAATTTAGCATAGAACACATTATCTAAATGACGAAACCGTGAATTTAAAACCCACTGAATATGCCTGAAATGGTAAATCAGTGAAATTTAAACCCAGGGAAAATTAGTCATTTTACAGTAATTTATTTTCTATTCTGGAAATATTCGCAAAACTCTTTAGGTCGACGGCTCAATTGCGGTAAAACTGAATGAACGTTATTGAGATGAACTGTGACCTTTTGACATACATCTTGGTGTACTATTCACTGTTTATGTATACAATGCGATGTCGATTTGTTACATAATTTTAGGGGTAAAGAGACAAATTCATTTTTATAGAGTTGGACACTCACTGTGTTAAATAATTGTGAATGGAGTGGTCTACGTAATGAGGTTTGCCCCAAAGGTTAATTAAACTGACAAACTCGCGGTAATGAATGTTTTTTATGAACTTATTTGAAGTAGAAAACAAAATAGACTATCAAATTTATATTACCATACCATATCTTCTGATTTTATAGTAGTGTAGTAAAGTTAAATGATGTAAAGTTTTTATAATCAAAATTGCGGTCCAGAATTCACACATTTACCATCTCTCAACGAAGTACTTTTTGTATTTTGGGGACTTGGTTCCTCACAGATCAGCTGTCAGACTGCAATTAGAAATAGTCAAGTTCAAAATAATGTCAGATTATATTATCAATCAATTTTTGGAGGTATATACTAGTAGTTCAAGGCAAGCCGTCGAACTGACCAATATTTCTTCAAAATACAATCTGGCACCAATTGTACAGGCAGGAAAGAGTGGCATTACTAAACGGAGTATGTGGTTTAATCCTGAAATTTTCAATAAATTAAAAATCAGTATCCTATCAGAGCTGGTATACAAATATTGTGTGCTTCACTGATCCCCGGACGGCTATGGCTATTTTTTTTTATTTTTATCTTTTTGGTATTTGTGTGAAAAGTGTTTTTTTTCCCCCTAACAGGTACCGAGGATATTTTTAATACTATGAACGTATAGATGTTATCCTCTGAAGCTGGAAAGAATTGGCTCGCTCCGCAATCGGAAAAACGTAATTTTTAAGTACAGTAGTTGTTCTAAAAAAAAACACCTACTAGAAAAAACATTAAAACAGGGGAGTCGTCACCTGCGCATGCGTCAGATGGCCATAGCGTTGTATTGTTTACAAACAAGCGTCTACCCATGAGCCTTTGCGTTTTTAGCGTGTGTTGTTATCGTCGCTTGGGACTCAATTCCTGCGCGTGCGCAGGTGACGACCCTCCCGCTTTAATAATTAAATTAAAATCCCAACATGGAAACGAAAATCGGACTACGTATACTGAAACCATATCGACTTCCACGACTTCCGTGAGATCTCGCGTATCGCGAGGAAGGCGCGGATCGAATGTTTGCCACAAAAATCGAGCGATTTGATATTGAATTTTCTTTTGTAAAGCATAATGTCAAAATGCCGATCATCTTTGATGGGGGAATATCGCGTTGAGATACCAGAATCAGCTTTTACTACGAACTGTCAAATCGAGATTGTATTATGTCCAAAGAAAGCAATATTATAAATGAAATGGCCAGTTATCTCACACTGACGCACCACTATATAACAGCTATTTTTAGCACTATAGTGTCTGGTCTCCAGTCTTGTTCGCACGTCCTAGAAAACGCTTCACTGAACTACTACAAAGACATTCTTTATCATTGGCTTATCGGAAAGTTGTGAATCGTACATCACAGTAATTTTATGTAATAATATAATACTAGTATGCTATAAGTTGCGCCCTCTAGCGTCAAAGAGCCTTAATGACGTAAATGGCTGAAATGAAGGCCTATCAGTGTTGGCACTGTTCTGATCTGCTATTGAAAATCTTATTGAGAGAATTACAATACTCAGTGCTATAGATAGGTGCTCAGTTATGATGTTTATGGCAATTTAGTCTACAATACTAAAAGTGTCTCCCTCTAGCGACGGGGAGTTTTTATGACGACGATGAGCAAAGTGGCCGTTCGCAGCGCTGATATTGTTTTGATATGCGAGCGTTCATCAATAAAACATGTTTCTAAAAGATGTGCTTTATTTTAAATGATCACTACACGACCAGAAGATTTGAACAAAATCGCTTACACTTTTCGCTGTGACACGCACACTTACTTTCCATCCCAGAGTTCTTAGCGCAGGCAGGCTAATTGAAGGAGCGCCACGTTGCATGGAGATTTACGCAGACTCATACTAGTACATGTTACTTAGTATTTTGACGTCACAGAAACGCTTCGTGACTGAACTTATTGAAGGTGTCGGAGTTGCAACACATACTAATAGGATCGCCACTGTCAGTGCATTCGGCTGTAGCATCTACGTGGTTAATGGCCAACACCAATCCGCAGTTTCGCTTACTATGTTATCTCTATTTTCATCAGCAATCACGGTCAGCGGGTGCCTGTGACTGATGATTTGTTGAAAACCCCGCGATTCGGTGACGAATAAAATTACGTATGAACGCAATGTGGTTCAAATCAACCATTGTGTTTGGTTGTATACTCATTCGTAATCTAGAATACATTAAAATCTCTCAAAAACTTAATTTTCAACCGAATTCATCAGATCAAAACGCCATATCGACGGTTTTAACGACCTATTTACGTCATAGAAGCGCTTCGTCACTGGAGGGTGCAAGTCATAGAAAATGGCACGTGACCTGTTCACTTACGGCAGCTTGGGCTCAGACAACAAATATTCAAGTGGTCAAAGAAAAAAAAAAGACATAAACTGAAGAACACCATACATATATTAAAGATTGCCCACTATTCCTTCGTCAACAAACTGGGTAAAAATGAACTCAGGGTCAGATGTAGCATCTTTGTGCAAGTCTGAACACTAACAATTTTGACTTAATGAATAATGGTCAACTTGGAATTATTGGAACACTTCAGACCACGCAGTCAAATCAAAACTTGCATTTATGCATGCCACCAAGAGTGTATTGGACAATGGCAAAACCAATGTTTATCAACACAAATCTCACACATGCGTGGTGCAACAACCATCTTCTTTTAATACAAAAATTAACTAAGAAGATAAAAGCATAACTGTTTTTTGATAAAATAGTGTTTTATTGAGAGTACAAAATACGAATGTTTATGGAGATGGACAGTGAATGATACAAGCATAGATAATGAGTTCAAAGGTTCACAACAAATGGAATGAAAAAAAACAACAAAAAAACTTCAAAATGTTCTAAATAGTAAAAATGTAGGCTTTCTTTTTGAAAGTTGCCATGGGGTTGATAACATGTGATAATAACTGACGACATTACATTGCAATCCTGGATGGAACACCAAGACACCAACATAGTCAGCAAATTGGCCTCCCCCCCTCCCATGATAAATTTCTTAGCCATCGCCTCTGCATTGTCTAACCATACCAGTTGGCACTGGAATACCCAGTTGATTTAGTGTTCCTCTGTTATCAAGAGTGTACACATTATATTTACTGCAAATGGCACACTCAATCCTTTATTTATTACCTGAGATTTTATTTTAAGTAGTTTCAACTGAAATAATGTACCATTTTCAGATAACATATAAAGGAAAGATTCAACAGTATTACTCAGAGAAAACAAGCTAATATTTTGGATTTTGTGACAATTATTTGAAAGTAAATCTGAAAGCAGATATCTGAATCGAGCAGCTTTATATTAACTTTGGTTGCAGTCATCAATGGCTGACTCATTTAAAAAAAATCTAACTGTACATTACTGTTTTATTTTCCACAATATAAATTGTACTAAATGCTTGGCTTCTTGTCAAAATGGCAATCTTTTCAACTACTCTCGCAGCACAAACTAGTTTCCCTGATCTGATCAAGATTTCTCTCAGCAGCTGGTTTCAAGAAATACATAAATTTACACTGAGATACCAAAAAGAATTTTTGATATACATAACAACTATGTCCATCCCACAATATAGCTTGTCTCCCCTCTTGATAATGTTATGACCCAAAATCAAACTGTCCATTCCAAGGTCCAGCTGTATGGCTTTTCAATTAGCTGGCAATATTGTTAATTTAGTGATTAATCCATTATTGCAATGACTGTAATACTGTTGTTTGATACAGCATGTTAATGAACACATCGAATTATTTTTTATCGTGAATTAAAAACAATTTAATAGGACTGTAGAACTAGTCTGTGTTCATTTGATGAAATTTTTGTTTTTAGACATTTAATAATAGTCTGTGCACAGAGTTGCATTATAAATTGTTCAAAGATAAACGAGTGCTATTATACGTCCTACATAAGAAACATTTTAGCTCACATTAAATAATAATTCAATGTGATCAACAATGTGCAATATAAAAAAAAAACATTAATACAAAATATACGTTGAAAAAAAGAAACAACAAGATAAGTTACAAAGTGAAAAGTAGACACTACAAAGAATGACTAAACTATTGCTCAATTATTACAATATACTTTACCCTCATGCCCTAAACACAGAAAATCATGATTTTTTTTTTAATTGAGCATCCAGCACCCCCCTCAAACAATTACCATGACAATTATGTTTATGCTAGTGTGACCTAATTTAATCTTTATTTTATATATTGCAATCAACCTATTGTGAAGACATAGTGAAATTGTGCGAAACAACAAGGAGACATTGTGTGGAAATTGACGCTCCGTTGTTATAGTTCATCTTTTGGTGGTGGTGTGTCCTCCATATCATTGCATAATTCTGAAAAAAAAGAACAGAATTGAACATTTGCAACAAATAGAATAGTTTCAAAATGTGAGTACTGAAAATCAGCCCCCAAAAATATATTCATGTTTAACATCGCATACATCAGTTAAAACATGGCTGTCAACAATTTTTCTTTTGTCAAAATTTTCCCAAAAATAATAAAGAAGTGGAAAAAGAAAAAGAAATAAAAACACAAATCTGATGACAAGTTGATCAGAATTGTCCAACATTTTTTTTCATTTTTCCTTGGTGTATACACTGTATATCTGTGAATAATTCTTCATAAAATTTCATTTCAAAAATTAACACTGTTTTTGACTTTAGACACAAACATTAGGAATTAGATTCACGATGGAACTATTGAATAATCCAGAACGCACACTAACCCTTGGTTGATACGACAACCATCAAAACTCAGAGTAAATTGTTTAATGCAAAGTGATAACGTTCAGTCGCACACTAGTACAATGAACAGTACTGGTCCATCCATGCTCGATTGATTGGTCGCTTTATTATAAATTATTAAAACCTGTCTTTTTGATCAAAATCAAAGTGTTACTCCTTACGGATGCCTGTGCAATTCCTACACAATGATGAAGACCTCTACGTGAATGTTACCATGGCAACTAAGATGGAAGTGGCTGAAAAAAATGTGATACACAAGTACATGCTTCAACATGAAGGCTGACCACTGAACTTTCAACTATTTATCCTTTTTAAAATAATTCAATTAAAAAAAAAAATTATGAATACATTTTGTGATGGTTATTATAGATTTAAATATATATTGACCATCACTGCTGTTGTAAAGTGATGTAATTGAACAATTCAATAATAATTACTTGGACAAATATTTGACAGTGCTTTAAAAGGTGGATTAGTTTACTAGGACAATTAGTTGTTTGACAACTCCCATGACGGTTTGCAGGTTGCAGAAAAGACCACGAGAAGTCAAGCATAAAAAGGCAATGCAGCATAGAAAATTAGATTGCGCATCAAATATTTATCAGCCAGTACTGAAACACTGTCATCCGCGCGAGTCAGTCATGCTGAACAACGAGGAAACACTGCCATTAACAAGCTGAATGCATGGTGTGGAAATGTACAACAGCTGCAGTCTGCATAATTGAGAACATAGCGGTACACTTCGAAAATATGCATAAATCAAAAATAAACCAAAAAGCCCCCCCCCCCCCCAAAAGATCTGTGTCTAGTCCAAGGTTTTTTTTTGAAAAAACTATATGGTGATGCGTTTGCTATTTTTTTTAAAACTGAATGTGTTCATTTGTGTGTATGTTTCTATAGTTTTATTTTCAAGTACAACAACAAAAACAGTTGAGTGGACTTTTGGCCAAATATGCAAACCGTAAATTAAAAAAAAATGAGATTGTAGAAAAACTAAACATTTTTTTCACCTCTTTTTGTGCAATATTCATTTCCAATTTTTTTTTTTTAAATTTGGATTGAGACGTGTAGCCAATACAAAGTTATATTTATTAGGTCAATATTAAAAAAAAAATACAAAGTACAAAATAATACAAAAAAATATACAAAATTTTGCACCTACCGGTGAATTATAAAGACTGACACAAAAGAGTAATACTGTCACTAATAGTGCACTCTTCAGTAACTCTATAAAAATGTTTACATAGCAATATTTCTTAATACAGGTGATCATAACTAAAATTACAACTATTAAAAGAACTAATCAGACTGATATTTATCCATTTTCTGCACTGGATTTCCAGGTTGACAGTGACAGAGCAGAATCTCATGAATTTATTTTCATTATTAATGAAGCTAAATCTGAATTCTGTATTTCACGAAAAATTAACATCAAAATATAATTAATAACTGATTTACAAAACACAAATAATTTAATTTTATGATTTAACTTCAAGATAACTTCTTCTACTCTCTGCCTTAATTCTGGAAAATAACAAAATCAACCATAGAGGACGCTGTTTCCAGAAATCAACCAGTGGAAAGAATTGGTTGTTTAGTGGATATTTTACAATTGTAAAAACCCAAAAAAAATCAAAAACCTACTAGTTTAGCAGATTTTTTAAATATATTGGTTAGTTTTTACTTCTTGAACCTATTTTTACGATTCGATTGTGCAATTAAACACAGTTGAGTGACATTGCACAGTTTCAGAGACAGTGGAAGAAACAAAACATTAGTTTACAAACAAACTTACCTGCAGAATCAGCACATAATTTATAGTGTATGTTGTTTTGTTTATTTGTAAATAAATGAATTATGTCATCTTCGTAGTCCTCAACTATATTTTCGCACTGAAAGAAAATGTAGAAAGAAATCTATAAAAAGTTATACAATCTCAATAAAAGTTGTACAAGCTTGTGGGATTGATTTCCACAAACCAAAGACACAAAGTTCCAGTTGTTATGAAGGAGTATCATGATTGCTACATTGCTGGGTATACATGTATGCCCCCAGCAAAATAAAGAGGGGTGACTTAACTCTTAGTCATTAATAAGCCAATTTGCTTCAGTTCATTATAACCACCCGATGATATACTACTCGGTCCACAGGTTCGGGGTACATTTATCTGTTTATCCCCACCATAGGTGTGAAAAAGTTGCGTTGGGTTTGGCAGTGAACAAATAATCACTGATAGCATAGTTCAGACACAATTGGTAGATGAATATACCAAAATTAGCATATCAATAGATAACTTACAAGGGGCGCTATTTTAAGAAAGGTGTTAACATTTTTGTATCGAGTCGGATACAGTCGGCGAATACATAATGTTTTCGCAAACTGTACGTACCCCGGAGGTATCACACGCATAAATTATATACACTTTAATGTGCATATGAATAAAAAACATGTTTTTCCATATTTTTGTAAATTTATAAAGGTAACAGTGATGGCAAAATACAGAATTAATACATTGATAACAAAACTGAAGATGGAATAGCAAAATATCTGTCTATAACTCATGATAATCGAAAGTGAATCAAAGTCAACAAGTCTTGAAAATGACACAGTCCTCGTTAAATTTTGTAAAGTTCTCTTTGTGCTCGTCATATTAATGTGGAGGAGTTGTCGCGAGCGTGTCCCAAGTGGCGTATACAACAGATTGTTTATTTACATCAAATTCGAACATGTGTTGCGTGACGACCCCTCCAGTTTAAGACAAAGCAAAGAAAAACACACTTAGATCACAAGTGAAAGCATGGCCAAGTTATCACATTTTAAACAAACAAGATGGCCGCCAGTTGGCCATATTTGATCAAATTGCAAATTGAATTGACATGTACATGTATCCATTTATGACATACTAAATATCAATGAAAATTATACATGGGTAGTAATATGGCCAAAAATAAAAACAGTCGTTATTCGGCCATCTTTGATCTGATTATGAAACAAAATGAAAATAGTACATAAATCTTGGAATTATAACAGTAAGGCCAAAAAGTCAGATGGCTGGCAATCAGCCATCCTTGATCCGATTTTGTAACAAATTGTCATGGATATGTATCCTAACATGTTTAAAATATATGCTAAATTTGAATGAAAACTGAAAAAGCATGTCCAATATATCGAATCGCTAAACCACTGCATGTGCATATGTCCCACATAAAGTACTAGGCACATGCAAAGAATGAACAGAATCGGAAGAAAGGATTCTCAAATATGACTCCGGACAGACGAATGACCGGATGCACAGACGGACGAACGGATGCACGGACGGTCGGAAGACATTTATCCTAACATGTATAATCTATGTACCAAATTTGAATGAAAACTGACAAAGCATGTCCAAAATACAACATTTTCAAAAAACAAGATGGCTGCCATTTTGAATCGAATTGCTAAACCACTGCATGTGCATATGTTCCACATAAAGTACTAGGCACATGCAAAGAATGAACGGAATCGGTCCAAAGGATTCTGAAAAATTACTCTGGACGGATGCACAGACGAACGCACAGGCAGACGGAGACCGAATTATAAGTCCACGTTTTCTGACTTCATCCGAACGGGAACTAATAAATGTATCCCCTCGCACTTTTGTAGCTAAGCAACAAGGGAACCCAAAAATCCAAATTTGACAATTTTTATAACAATTTTAACAGTAGTGTTAAATTCGACATCCAAAGGACATGATCATGTATCAAATCCAAAGGGTGGGGAACGATCTACTGTCAATTACCTCAACATAAAATCATGTCATAACACGATAGGTACATAACTGGTACTTACAGCTATTCGTAATGCCTTTGATACGTCTGCACTTATCGAAACATTGGATAATGTAATTGGTTTATCTTTCTCATTTTCTCTATTATTATATCGCATATATGATTTCTCATCTGTGTCTGGGTCAGTGTGCAATGCATAGTCTTTCATTTGATCACAGACGGTTTCTAAAACTTCCATTAAATGAACCTCTGAAGTGGCATAGGGTACCTAGACAATAGAAAACAAAGTAAATCACAATATGACCATGTGAGGGCAGTATAACAAGAGATGACTATTTAAAAGTTGAGGTAGAATATGTCTTGTTAATGTTACTTATCATCCTTGTGACATGCTTTAGTGCAGCCAGGCAATTTTTTGGAGAGACGTTTTAAAATTCTGGATCAAAAACCTAAAGGGTGTAAATGGATGCTTAATACTTAAAAGCAAAACAATTTTGTTCGGTGTTTACTGTTATTGTACATGCACATACAAACATGTATTAAGATGGTTCACACTGAATTGAAAAACAAAATTCAATGTCTTCATACTTTCAAAAAATGTCACAAAACCGCTAGCATAAAAAAAAGTTTATCTCAGAGAAAATTGCAAAATGATGTGCACCACAACAACAAGATACATGTTTAATGTTTTACATACGAAATACATGTATTGATTTTGATTACATGAATTGAATTAATTGAATTTTTTTTTTAAATGGTGATTCGAAATTTTTAAATGATAAACTGAGTGTGGATGAAGTATTTAACACCTTTCACGACCATGAACAGGGCAAGTTGTTTACCTGTTCAGCATAGTCACAATGAACGCTGACATTTTTCAGAAAAATAAGACGATGTTCAATGATTTGACAGTTTAATTTGGGGTGTATGGAAAAGTGGGCACTTAGTGAAACATGACCCGAACACGGAAATTCCTCAAAAGTGTGGGGGAGGGGCGTTTGGGCGGGCATGGGCGCTAAGTTGGAAGAGGATGTTGTTTACGTAATCAAACCTTTCCACTGTCACTACTGTAAAATGACTAATTTTCACTGGGTTTAAATTTCACTGATTTACCATTTCAGGCATATTCAGAGAGTTTTAATTTCACAGTTTCATCATTCAGATAATGTGTTCTATGCTAAATTTTACATATTCACTGGGTTTTAATTTAGCGCATTTTCCAGTCAGCGAAATAAGCAAAATTAAAACCCAGTGAATAATGACCCCCTTTAACAGTATGTTCTGTTCGGCAATTGGTTAAAATATGTTTGATTGATGCACGTTTGAAACTCGCGGGATCACGATATATACACAGCATAACGACCTTACATACACATGTAGATATTAATGACACATACCCTTATGTTATATGAATATTAATGCTAGAGTGGGATTTGCATTGAAGATCATACATGAATTAAAGCGGGAGGGTCGTCACCTGAGCACGTGCAGGAATCGAGTCCCAAGCGACGATAACAACACACACTAAAAATGCAAAGGCTCATAGGTAGACATTTGTTTGTAAACAATGACACGCTATGGCCATCTGACGCATGCGTAGGTGACGACTCCCTCGCTTTAAGTAGGTCACATGAATTACGATATGATCTACAAATCGCAAACGAAACCTAAATTTCTAGAAATTCAAACGCAAATTAGTGAGTCAGAGACACAACTGGTTAGCGTTCATCTCGGATCATTCCAAATGTAGTATGTGCGTTTTACATTTTTAAATACTGCGATAATCTCGCTCTTTTCTGTTTATGCGATCAAACAGTTTTATTGCACCCACTGCATTCGGTGATGCTACTGCGGAAGTCAAGCAAGTGTTCAAAACGTAATAAAAAAGACGCCGCCATCGGTGCGCGTGGCCCAATCAATTGACTAGCTGTCAGCTAACTTGTCAAACAAAAACATCGACGCGCCAAACTGAAAAGGTTGACGCGCCAAAATAAAAATGTTAAACCACGCCCACTGCTTCTGAGCACATCAAACTCGTCAGCTGACTACTAAACATGGCCAGTAACGTGAGTAACACGGGCAGAAAATTTAAACGAGGTGCTGAAACATCGGGGCATTCGTAAAATATGGCAGCGATCCGTTCATTGTAGATCAAGCAAGGGCAACAGAGGTTTTTACCATAAGCTAGGTGATGGTGACTTGGAGCTGATCGAAACTTTGAAAAGATTACAACCATCTATAACGTATCGTGCTATTGCAGACCATATCAATGAGCATGGTGAAGTTGTAGAAAATGTTTCAATCACTACTATTTCGCGGACAGTTCGAACCCGATTGTCAGGCGGCCGATGGACTTACAAAACACTAACACCGGTAGCCTTGGAGAAATTCACGGACGCTAACATAGCATATTGCGATGAATAT